TTCCAAGTTGCTCTACAGACCATATGGTACAAGAGCTTCTAATTTTAAATTTATAGTAAGAAGTCAACACAGTGAAATACTTTTCTTCTTGGGTGCTGTCTGTAAAGACAGTCAGGTGCTAGAGTAGCTATAATGCCTCTAATTTTCCAATTTTTGCCATGATTCTTACAGTCCTTTCCTTTTTTCCTCTCTTCTTCAATTGTATCCTTCCTCTTGCTTTTCTCTTCTGTATGTTTGCTTTTTTCCATCTTGTTTTCAATTGTTTCCTCTCATAGGTTCTTTTTCAAACTCTTTTACTTAAAATCTTTCATAAACATTTTATGAAATTTTTTTTTACTTTAAAATGTTTTGTAAGCAGCTGCCAAAAAGAAGTACACCAAACGAGATATTTTTTGTGTACATATTTTTTTGGTTATGCACACAAAAGATAAAGTACAAAAAGTCTGGTAAATTTTGTTCTCGGATGTATATAGAACTTCACAACAAAAACATCACTTTCTCACTGCAATTCCTGTTTTGTTGTGCCATCACCATTTCTTATCTCCCCTATTCTCTTCTCAGCCAACCTACCCTTGGAGCTTATTGTCTCAGGACAAGAATGAGAAGAAGGCCCAGGAATTGGGGTGGAGAGGTGGTGATGGGGAGGGCTGAGGAGTTGGCCCTCAGAGAGCAGGAAAGTGAACAGTGTCAGGTTGTTGCCATGCCTGTAATAACAGCAACAAGGAGATTGTTGATGTCCAGTATGGCTATCTTTAGTGTCTCATCCTGGTGCATGATACAGTTTTGGCTTAGATCCCCACATAAACATATTCAGTATAATGCCACAAGTTTTTATTGAACATTTACTCTGTTCAAAACATTTCCAAATGCAATAAAAGATACAAATATATTCCTCCCCTTGAAAACGTTTGGGGAATTTTAAATAGTTCCATTAGATATAACAGAGAAATGACAGAAGAGAAATGTGGTTTGAAGCTACATGCATGGTAAGGGACTTTGAGCGTCCCAGGCTAGAGAAATTTGGACCTGGGTAGTATTGGGGTGCCGTTGAAAATGTTTGAGTGAAGTAATGACATGATCAGAGATATACTGTAGAAAGACGGATCTGACAAAGTGTGAATGAAAAAGAAACTGAAGGTCTAGAAATTAGTTAAGAGGTTGATAACAGAGTCAGGAGGACTTGAACTAATGATGGCAACAGTGAGAAAGGAAAAGTGAGGAGGTGGTAGAAGATATTTAGAAAGAGAAGTGAATAATTGCCAAAACTTGGACGCAACCAAGATGTCCTTGGTAGGTGAACGGATGAATAAACTGTGGCACATCCAGACAATGGAATATTATTCAGCACTAGAAAGAAATGAGCTATCAAGCCATGAAAAGACAAAGAGGAAATTCAGATGCAATGTAAGTGAAAGAAGCCAATCTGAAAAGGCTACACACTGTATGATTCCAACTATATGACATTCTGGAAAAGCAAAACTATGGAGACAGTAAAAAGATTAGTGGTTGCCGGGGCTTAATGGGAAGGATGCTATGAGTAGGTGGAGCCCAGAGGGTTTTTAGGGCAGTGAAAATACTCTGTACAATACTATAACAATAGATACATGTCATTAGACATTTGTCAAAACCCATAGAATGTACAACACCCAGAGTGAACTCTAATGTAAACTATGGACTTTGGGTGATAATGATGTGTCAGTGTAGATTTTATCAATTGTAATATATGTACCACTCTGGTGGGGGATGTTAATAGTGGAACAGGCTGTACATGTTTGGAGACGGGTTATATGGGAACTCTCTGTACTTTTCACTCAATGTTGCCTGTGAACCTAAAACTTCTCTAAAAAAATAAGGTTTATTAATCTTATAAAAAGTGAAGTGAACGGGTATATGAGAACATGATAGGGTGTTTGAAAAGGGATAATAAAAGGGTTACTAAGCAGAACTGAGGATGTATTAGAAGTGAGCGTGAATTTTGTAGTGACCCCGTAGGCAGAGTTTTATGGAACATTTGATAGCCTAGAACATAGAAGGGAGCCATCTCCCTGGCATATACCTAAGAAGAATTCGATAATGGTTAAGTGAATGAAGGATTTTAGAATCTTCCTTAATATTCTCCCCACATTTCATTTTCTCTCGCTGATAACACTAGACGGAAAAAATATGTTACTTAAAAGTATTTCATTTAAGAAAAACACTAGATGAATTGGTGAATGGGATGAATTTGGTGATCAGAAACAATGACAGTTGTCATTAAAGCTAGCAGATGCTAGTGTTTTAACAAAAGCAGCATTTCAATCAGACATTCACCAGGACAGTATTTAATGTAAAGTACTAGTTTAGATTAGCTTATTGGCATTACGTTGGTTGGCAAAAAGCAAAAGAAGAAACAAAAATCTCCATAGCAAATAACTAACAGCTATAATTAATTAAGAGATTATGTGATAAGCACTGTTCTAAACCCTGTACATTATTAACTAAGTCCTCACAGTAACCCTGAAGGAGATGCTGTTATTATGCCTACTTTACAGATAAGGAAACCAAGACAGTTATGTTTCTTAAGGTCATAGGAAAGTGGCAAGGTAGAGAATTCAAACTTACATTCCATATTGCAGAACCCATGGGTTTCACCACTACATCAGCAGTTCTTAAGCTAGGTTACACGTTGAGTTCATCTGGGGAGATTTTAAAACCAAATATATGGATCCCTAATCCCTACCCAAAACTAATTATTTCGGAATACCTGAGGCTGGGACCAGGCGTAGGTTTTTTGTTTGTTTATTTGTTTGTTTGTTTGGTAAGGAAGATTGTCCCTGAGCTAACATCTGTTACCAGTCTTCCTCTATTTTGTTTGTGGGACACCGCCACAGCATGGCTTCATGAGTGGTGTGTAGGTCTGTGCCCGGGATCCAAACTGGTGAACCCTGGGCCACCGAAGCGGAGCCTGCACGCTTAACCACTACACCACCAGGCTGGACCCCATAGGTACTTTTTTTAAGTGCCTCAAGTGATTCTTCATAGGCTGCCAGGGTTGAGAACCATTGCCCTACACTGGACTGCCTTTGTAAAAATGCTCTGCATTTAGTGTGCAGTTGCTCTCTTCTTTAGGCATGAAGACAATACCAAGAGGTGTATAAAAGAATCTCTGCCCTTAAGAAATTTGGTTTAGGGAGACAGAAACTGTAGAAGAAAATGATAGTATTTAAGATAGCTTAAGTTAGGTAATATCTTAGAATTTAGACAAGGAATAGATCTTTAGATCCAGGTGGTAAGCAGAACAAGGGAGTGCTGTTTATTGAGAATGTGATCTGGGCTAGGCTCTGTGCTAATCCAATGCAAGATAATCCTGAGTGTTAACTATTCTGTTTTAGAAGTGAGTAAACTGGCTCAGAGAGGTTAAAGACCTTGTCCCTGGTCACACCCCTAGTCAATGGTAGAAATGGCTTACACATCTCTCACACACGCTCTTTCCACCATTGCATTCTGCCTGAAAGGAGACAGGAGGATGTGGGACAAACTGGACCTTCAAGGACAATCACCCAAGAACGGATATAGAGGATGGATTTGGAGGTGGGAAGAATGTTAGGCTGAGTAGGGTAGTGTATGAAAAGGGAACAGAAAAAGATATGGTTATAATTGTAGATTGGAGGTATAATGAGGAGTTGGGATTTTATTATATACACCTTTTTTTAAAAAACACCATTAGGTGATATATACATATAATTTTTTGGATTGTCAAATTTGTTATAACATTAGAAGAGGAAGGAAAATTATTCAGGAGACTATTTAAATAATCCAAATGAATATAAATATCTAGACAGTGTAGTACAGTAGGATTATAAAAGGATGGACCAGTGTGGAATACATGGAGGAATAGCTGTGATATCATTGAAAGATAAATTATTTGTTTAAAAATAAAACAAGAATAGCTTCTTTTCCCCTCTAAATGAGTGGACACAGACTCAACAAGATCAACATGTTCCTCTTGAGATTCAGTGGAAAAGCAAAGGGAGAGTCTTCACCACACGGTTATTAATTTCCCACTTTTCTAGGTACACCCTGATGGTAGAGAAGGAGGTGAGCATGTTCCAAAAGTAGTGAGTCCTTTCTCATCAGAACACTAGAGGACCAGAATGTCTAAGTGCTGCTGTGTCGAGGCCTGAGCGCATGTCCCATTGTTTCCAGTGACCTGTAGAGCAGTCTGTCAACCCCTACCTTGCTTTGGGGCCAGCTGGGAGTAGCCAGACAAGAATTAAACTGGAGGTCATAGGTGTCTCACACCTAAGGTATGTGGGCTCATCAAGTGTAACAAGACAGAGCATGTCAAGCTAAATTAACTCACCAATTATATTAAAACTCCAAGCCAAAAAGTCAATCACATACTTAATAACAAAGGATTGTTAGAGTAACATGAGTTAATATAAGTGCTTAGAACAGTGCTTGACACAGTAGTAAAAGCTATGTTAGTACTGGCCATTATAAGGATTATTAATCTTCAAACATAGCATGGGGCCTATATTCAAACTGCTATTATAAAAGTTCTGTCAACATGTTTTAGCTACTTTAGGGGGCAGTGTGATTGATGATGAAAGAAAGTCACAATGCTATTTATCAGGAAGGCCTAGATCATAGTCACAGGAGGTTTTTGTTCCAAGGGCTCACACGAATTCACTGGGGGTGGGATAAAAGGGCAGGGAAGACTTAAGGATGATACCAAAATCTTGAGCCTGAGAAACTAAATTTACCACTTACAAATAGAGAAGCTGGCTTTAAGGGCAGAGATTTTGTTTAGAAGGAAGGAGTTTTAAAGGAATAGATAGAAGATTTTTAAAGAACATGGTTTGCTTGTTTTTTTGTTTTTTTGAAAAATTTTAAGATTTATGGAGCTATGGTTTACACACCAGAAAATTTACCCGTTTTAAGTGAATAATTCAATTATTTTTAGTAGATTTACATAGTTGTACAACCATGACCACAATCCAATTTTAGAACATTTTCATCACCCTAAAAAGATGTCTTGTGCCCATCTTTAGTCCTTCCTTGTTTCTACTCCCGGCCTGTCCTATTGGTTTTTTGAAAATAATATTTAATAATATTGAATATTTTGAAAATAATATTTAAAGAATATGTTTTTTGAAAATTTTAAAGTCAGTTTTCTTTTGCAGGATGGCATAGTAAATCCAACAATAAGAAAAGATTTGAAAACTGTACCAAAATTCTACTGTTGTCCAATTGAAGGATGCCCTAGAGGCCCTGACAGACCATTTTCTCAATTTTCTCTCGTAAAACAGGTATTTTACTTGTCTTAAGTATACTTCTCTGAGGATGAGATGCAGATGTTATAAACTTAATGTGCATTCTAATTACTTACCAAACGTAGCTAGAGAATTGAGCAGAAAGCTGCTTGTGAGGACAGCCACCCAAGAGTCTCTCAGTTGGGGAAACAGTGAGTAGGGTGTAATGCAGTTGAAGGAACAGGGCTTGTTCTGGAGGGGAAGATGTCCAGAAGTGGATTCAGAGAGAAAGAAAAGAAGACCAATTCAGCAAAGAATGAGAACATGTGTACTTCCAGATCTCAGTGTGAATCTGTATGCCTCCAAGGTTAGAGAGCAAAGGCACAAAGGAATTGTTCTCTCAGGGGAGGAAGAAACTCCCCAAATTTGGGAAAGAAGAATTTCAGAAGCAGCTACTTAAGGAGAGGGACTGGGGAAAGAGGTGATTCAGGACTGGAAGAGATTGGCAACTTAAATCTTTCCCTCAGGGTTCGCTGGAGGGGGTCCTGAACAAAGTGTTGCAAACTTTTTTCTCTGTCTGCAGCAGATCAGAAACCTAAATGGTGTGTACCATGGATTGTTTCCAAAACAGTCTCCTTACTTTTCACAGAGCAGAAGTGATGGGAGAGGCATATAATAAACTGCAGTTTGCCTGCTTTTACATTCTTTTGATTTGGACTGCTATATTTTATCAGCTAAAATCGTTGTTAATTTGAGTATATTGGTGGTTTTTGAAATGTTTTGAGCATTTGCAGTTTTTCATTTTAGTCCCTTCTGTATTCTTCCTAGCACTTTATGAAAATGCATGCTGAAAAGAAGCATAAATGTAGTAAGTGCAGCAATTCTTATGGCACTAAATGGGACTTGAAAAGACACGCAGAGGATTGTGGCAAGACCTTCCAGTGCACGTGTGGCTGTCCCTATGCCAGTAGAACTGCATTACAGTCCCACATTTACCGAACTGGCCATGAGATCCCTGCAGAACACAGGTAAAGGGGAAGAAATGGTGGCCCAAAAGTCAACAGCTGTTGGAAGAGTTTCATGTGAAACTTCCTAGAATAATGGAGAAAAGATGTGATATGGAAGAAGGGAACTCTCAGACATGGCAGCAGTGCTACCAAAGCATCAGCATCTACTTGACCCAATTGTTCTTCCTTATTCTTTCTGCTAACTCCTTTTGAGGGTCCCTTATTGTTCCCAATTGAAAATCTCAACTTCCAGCATTTTCTACTAGAGGGATATTAGATTGTTGAAGAGTCAAGTTTTATCATGAAACTGTACTTCATTTTAAGGGTCAAATTTATATTTGGAGTAATAGCGTCCTACTTGAGAAATGATAAAAGTCGCATTATATAATCTGTTTTCCTTATGCTTACAGATCTAGGTTGAGTTCTAGTACTTAGAGCTTTACCAGAAAATAGATGTGCTTCCTCCCTCCCTGTTTGCATGTATCTGAACTTCTGCCTCCGTATGGTAGGCTCACTTCTCAAAGAGTTAGGAAAGAATGGATTTCTCTTCACTGGGTTGAATCTGACCTCTGCTGTAGATGTGGGAAATAGCGTTTGTAAGTGAAGATACAGTGCCAGGGTTGAGGAAGGCTGCAGTTTAAAATTGTTTTTTTCTTTTTACTCTGTCATTGTTCTCAGGGATCCACCTAGTAAGAAAAGGAAAATGGAAAACTGCCTGCACAACCAGAAGTTGTCCAGTAAGACCATTGAATCGTTGAGCAACCAACCAGCCCCAAGAGCAGACACTCAAGAACTAGAAACTTCAGAAATAAAGCTAGTCGCTTCCTTTGAAGACTCTTGCAGCTCTAATTCCAGAAAGCAGACTCTTACAACACCTCCGAGATATCCTCAGAAGTTGCTTTTACCAAAGCCCAAAGTGGCTTTGGTTAAACTACCCATTATGCAGTTTTCTCCTCTGCCTGTCTTTGTGCCTACAGCCGACTCCTCTGCCCAGCCTGTGGTGCTCAGTGTTGATCATCAGGGCTCTGCCCCGGGCGCTGTGCACTTACTGCCCTTGTCAATAGGAACCCTGATCCTTGGCCTGGATTCAGACGCTTGCTCTCTTAAGGAGAGCCTCCCTCTTTCAAAAGTTGTAAATCCTGTTGCTGTTGAGCCAATTAGTACAGGTGTTCAAGTGAACTTGGGTAAAAGTTCATCTGCTCCTTTACAAGAACTAGGGAATGCATGTCAAAAGAACAGCATTTCTTCAATCAATGTACAGACAGATCTGTCTTATGCCACACAACACTTTATACCTTCTGCACAGTGGGCTAACCCTGATTCCTCTGTATCGTCTTGTTCTCAAACTGATTTGACGTTTGGTTCTCAAGTTTCCCTTCCCATTAGTGTTCATACTCAAACATTTTTGCCTGATTCTAAGGTAACCACATCTATAGCTGCTCAAACTGATGCGTTTGTAGATGCCTGCTTCCAGTCAGGTGGGATCTCCAGAGAAACTCAAACCAGTGGAATGCAAAGTCCAACAGATGACCGAGTACAGATGGACCAAGCTGTAATGTGTGGAGCCATTTTTGAGAGTGTCCATTCATCATACGGTGTTTCTACAGACAGTATTATAAGCAGCAGCTTAGTAGCAGAGACTGTACCTCATGGTTTGTTACCTCAGAACCACCCTAAGACTTTAAATCAAGATATTGAGAAATCTGCACCAATTATAAACTTCAGTGCACAGAACAGTATGCTTCCTTCACAGAACATGACAGATAATCAGACCCAAACCATAGATTTATTAAGTGATTTAGAAAACATCTTGTCAGGTAATCTGCCTGGTCAGACATTGGACAATCGTAGTCTTTTGTCTGACACAAATACTGGACCTGACAACCAGCTCCCATCTGGCCCAACCCAGAATCCTGCAATTGATTTTGATATTGAAGAGTTCTTTTCGGCCTCAAATATCCAGACTCAAACTGAAGAGAGCGAGCTTAGCACCATGACCACTGAGCCAGTCTTGGAATCACTGGACATAGAGACCCAAACTGACTTCTTACTTGCAGACACCTCTGCCCAGTCCTACAGTTGTAGGGGAAATTCTAACTTCTTAGGCCTTGAAATGTTTGACACGCAAACGCAGACAGACTTAAACTTCTTTTTAGACAGTAGCCCTCATCTGCCTCTGGGAAGTATTCTGAAACACTCCAGCTTTTCCATGAGTACTGATTCGTCTGACACAGAGACCCAAACTGAAGGAATCTCCGCTGCTAAAAACATACCTGCTCTAGAAAGCAAAGTTCAGTTGAACAGTACAGAAACGCAGACCATGAATTCTGGCTTTGAAACCCTGGGGAGCTTGTTCTTTACCAGCAATGAAACTCAAACAGCAATGGATGACTTTCTTCTGGCCGATTTGGCCTGGAATACGATGGAATCTCAGTTCAGCTCTGTAGAAACCCAGACGTGTGCAGAACCACACACAGTCTCCAACTTCTAAACGTGGAGGCCTTGTGTGGGCTGGCATTTACGATTTCCTTCTGGATTTAGAAAATGGAGAATGGGGACAACAGTATTAACTCTATTGAATGTAGTTGATGATGCAGTTATTTCAATTCTTTGAGCTTCTTTGCCTTTTGTATTTGTAAACATGAAATTTGTGTATAAATGTGAGTGTATTGTAAAGTGTAAGATGTTGATCTAAAAATGATTGTTTTTGTGTTGCCGACGTTTGCTGTTTCACAGCTAGTCTTCCCATCTTAAAAAAAATGTATTTCACCTTTAAAACCCATCTAGCCATTTATCTAAAGCCAAGCTTACCAGGTACTAGGGTACAAACTTTTCAAGTCTTCAAAACATTTTAGTCAAAGTGTGACTTGCTTAAATTTGTACCTAAAATATTTTTGACAGTGCTTGTTAGAAATTCCTGTTTCCTAATAGTAATATCTAAAGAATTCTGATGCTGCACCATCAGGTTTCAACACCAGTGCTTGGGTGGTTTGAGACTCGTGCTGCCTACAGCTGCATCTGCTTTGACATCTCACTCTTTTCTGATTTGAAGACACAGGAAAACTACAGCTGTCTTGAGCTTTTGAGACAGTTTTTGTGTAATCAATGCCATTCCTTCTTTACATGAACTATTACTGATACCAGTGTAAGTGTACAGTACTTTCCTCACAAGACATACATGTTGCTGTAATATTACTGCTTAAAGAAGTAGAGGCAAGCGCTTAGTGTAAATAGTGATCCTTCTAGTCTAGACAAGAGTAAGTCACCCCAGCCATGGAGGTGCTGGATTGTGGAGTCACGCCTGTTAGCTCCTGCTGGAGTGTGCCCTGTGCACATGCCTCCTGCTCTCTCCCGTGGGCCGGGTGGTGCTCCAGAGCTGCTGCTAGAAGTGCACCAACAGGCTGCCTCTGAGTTTTGTTGCTCTAAATGGTAGAAAAAAGAATGGAAAGAGAAAAGGACATTCCCCCCTAAATTTCACTACTTTGCATACGCTTGATAGGGCAAGAGTGCAATCAGTAATTATTTTAAAGTGAATCTTCTTTTCATCCACCTCTCATCTTTTGAGTAAGGAAAGACATTAGTCTAGCAAGGATATTTGTTCCTTGAGAGCAATTATAGAATAGATTCATCTGAAATATAGTATTCTGCATTTTGTCGCTTTATTTATTTGTTTGTTTAGAGAGGGTAATACCAAACAGTCTTCTTCAAAGAAAACGAGATGAAGACAGTTGCTTCAATAATCAAGAACATCTATGTTTTGAGATGGGAGTATGGTCAAGTATGCTTTTTGGGGTTTTCTGTATTTAGGAGATCTTGAATTCTTGATTGTTGATCAACTTTCAGGCAAGTAAAAATCAGTGCAGCCTGTAAGTTTTCTAAGTTTACCAAAAAAAAGAAAAAAAAAAGCTCTGTTCCTTCTGTGGCACATGCTTGTGTTGCTGAAGGCTAAATCCTCAAAATAAAACCTAAGGAGAGAACTAATAATTCATTAAAGCAAGCTGATGGCATTGTTACTAATTCCTATCCCATAGAAGAATTGCTGGTAATAGATAAATAACATATCCTGGGCAGATGAACTCAACCTGGTAGTTAAGTTTGCTTGGGTCACAGTTGCCTATGAACATGGGTTTCGAAACAAACATAAAGCCTTAACTTAGAATTTCATTATGTTTTAGAATCGTCACTGCCTTAATGTTCAAACATCTATTCAAGTCCTCCTAGTAAAGGAGAAATGCATGTTTGTTTATGGTTTTTTGTAAATATAAATGCAGTGATCTATGGCTTTAAAAAGAATTGTTTCTGTGACAGTGTTTGTTAATCCAGCCAATAGAGTTATTTACAGAAAAATGGAGCATGTAATAATTCTTCATGTACAAGTAAGAACTGTTTCCCCCAAAAACCTTAGTTACCTGAATTGTTCTAAGATATTTGTAAAAACTGAAATTCAGTGATTAAAGAGAAGTCAGAATTCTACTTTTTTGTGTGAATTCTTCAACGTGTTCATAATGACTTATTTTGTCGCCTTTTCACAAACTCATCATCTGAAAGTCACACAATGAAATGATGTGCCTAGTTATTTTCATTATTGTTTTACCTTTGTTCGTGAAAATATGCTAATAATTTTTCTTATAGAAAATGAAAAGACACTCCATTACCAAAGTTTCTATTTTGTTTTGTTTTGTTTTGTTTTTAATGGTCATGACATTTTATTTTATTTTATTTTATTTTATTTTAATTTTTATTTATTTATTTTTCCCCCAAAGCCCCAGGAGATAGTTGTATGTCATAGTTGCACATTCTTCTAGTTGCTGTATGTGGGACGCGGCCTCAGCGTGGCCAGAGAAGCAGTGCGTCTGTGCGCGCCTGGGATCCGAACCCGGGCCACCTGCATCAGAGAGCATGCACTTAACCGCTAAGCCACAGGGCCAGCCCAAAGTTTCTATTTTGATGTAAAGTTTTTATTTTGATAAAAACTCTACACCTTAGGATTTAAGTTTTGGAAAATATATTCAAAGGTAGTTACTCCAATTCATGTATTTGCCAAATGTTACCATTTTATAATGGGGTGCATTTTATCTTCGTAAATGATGTGGTTCTGGTTTAAGAGCAAAAATAAGAGTGTTAGAGTATGAGTCATTCTTTGCTCAGTCACTAACTTGCAGGAAAGCCAAATCTGTGAGTTTCTGATTCCCTTGACATAAAGGGAAAATTTAAAAAAAATTTTGTAGACTTACCCTAAAGATGCTGAGTAAGGTTTGAAGCTACTTTTGATTGAGAGAAAATGTATCAGTGTCAGTCTAGTGATGAAGTTGAGTTGTTTCAGTAATAGTAGAAAATGACAGGGTGATATTTTCATGTAATCCTTTATGGCCTCAATTTTGGAATGTTTATCTCAATTCCAGTCCAAACCTGCTCATCAAAATCTGCTATCTAATATTGACTCCCAAGAGCACTTACTATCTGGTATAGTTAAAGCAGTGCTTCTCCAACTTGTCCTTGGAAGACTCTTAAAGAAAGAAGAGGAACATGTAGCTTTGAGGGATTTAGGGATGAAGCTTTTGAAGTCTCAAGAATCATGCAGTTTTATTTTCCCTATATCTCACAACACGTGTGTGTGTTCTCATCTGAAGTGTGTTCAAGTGCCACTGATTAGATTTGACAGTAGGAGAGAATAGCTAATTTTCTGGCTTCATACTCCCAACATCTAAAAGTCTTTGTTAACTGACATGAATTTTTAGTCTCGTTTCTTCAGCAAGATGCTGGCTACTATGATGTTCTCATGGCCAAGAAGAGTCAACTAAAGACCATTGTTTTGCAATGTTAAAATCCAAAGAGTTCTCAGTTGTGTGAACTGTATTTATTAGCAGATACACTGATATTAGTTTACATATTGAGAGCAGGCTGAAGAGCAAGTGGAGAAGATTATTATTTTTTTTTTTTTTAAAATTTATTTATTTTATTTTTTCCCCCCAAAGCCCCAGTAGATAGTTGTATGTCATAGCTGCACATCCTTCTAGTTGCTGTATGTGGGACTCGGCCTCAGGATGGACGGAGAAGTGGTGCCTCGATGCGCACCCGGGATCCGAACCCGGGCCACCAGCATTGCAGCGCGCGCACTTAACCACCAAGCCACAGGGCCGGCCCTAGAGGATTATTTTAAACGTTAACAAATGTGGGCACTAAGTCATTTAAAAATATGCATGTTTGAAAGAAGCAAATGCTCAAATTGTGAATGAATAAAAAGCATTATCTATAATACTTGAACTGAAAGAGTACCAATATTCATTCAGTTCTTTCAACAAACTTCAGAAAAAACTAAATTTTATATTGCCTTACTAATAAATAACAAACATGTTTGTAACTTTGTTCTAAATGCACGAATTCAAAAATAGTGAACGTTGGCATAGGAGAAACTTATTCCCAAGGCCCTTCCACTATTTTTTGGTACTTTATTCTCAAGCAAGATATATTACAGGACATAAGGCTGCAAAAAAGATACAACAAAATTAAAACAAGTGATACTCTTTTTTAGTTCATCAGAGTCAAATATTTCAGAAAATGAAAAAAATTTTGAAAAACTGTATCTCCATGGTGACTTTGTTATTCTCAAAATTACCTATGTTACCTTAATGTGAACTAACACTTTTTTTTTTTTTGGCCCAGTGGAGTGAGCATATTAGCATGGTATGTGTCAATAAGACCTTGTTCCAAGCTTGGCATTTTCTTACTGCTTCTGCTTGCCCCTGTTTACTCTCTGCTTTCTGGTGATCCACTGCTTTTTCCTTGTTCTGGGTGAAATATCTGGTTTTTTGATTGCATCTCAAACATGTTGCTGCTTAGGACTCAGGGCAGAGTTTAGCCTGGGCATCAAGAGCATGGCATTGAGTCTTTCCTGGCTCCAGCATCCCACTTAGCCTGGCAGACGGTGGGAGAGTGTTCCCTATGGTACCAGGGGCTGCCCTTGTCTGCCATTGGTCACAGTCACAAGAACCCCACTGTTTCTTCCCCACCTTGCTTCTCAGTAGCCCCTCAACAGCAGCATCAGGGTTGCATTGGACCCAAGCCCAGGCACCCGAAAAAGCCCAAAATATGAGGCCTCCAGTGGTGCAGCTCTGCCTGCTTGGTCAGCTGGGGGCTCCCAAAGGGAGACGGGCTGGGGCTTCTGTGGTCTCTCTGGGTCTTGAAGCTCCTGAACATGGAGGGAGAGTGAAAGCAAGTATGATTCTAGGTTCAAATCATTTTATCACATGGTCTTTGAAGTACAGGTAATTCACAAGAGGGGGCAAAGTCCAGAATAAAAAGAATAAAGCTAAAAATTGGGGAAAGTCTCCCGGAGCAGGCAAAGTCCTACGTACTTGTCCAAATGTAGCCAGGCCCTATTCTGACTTGAAGCCTTCCTCTTTCCCTTCAAGAGCGCTACCCCTCACGTCTCTGTCCTGTCGACGTTCTGTCTGTCTGAGGTTTCCTGCCCCTCCGGGGCCTCCCTTGCCGTACCTAGACCCTCAGCAGCATCCCCTGGCCTCAGCCCAGCAGGAGCCCTGTGGCAGGTGCTGCCACAATTCCACTTGGTGATTTTTTAAGGTTTCAAGAAAAATAGGAGTTTGGAAAGTTTTACTACTGAGGCATCCAAAAATAATAGAATGAGGGATGAAACACAGAGCCCTCCATGCTTGGTTTGGAGAGGACTAGAGGAACTAAAACCTAATTGAGATCATCACCTTGAGGTAGGAAGAGGGCCATTGGCACCTACATTATAACATGCTTAGCTCCTTAAAATGGCAGGATTTCCACTCAAAGTCTTGTTAGTGACCTAGAACCCTAATGAGGACTACATTCTGTAAAAATTCAGCCTTTATCTAGGTTTGAACATCAAAGACCAGTTTGGATGTCTTGATTTAATCTGAGTGGACATTGGGACAAGGCCTAGAGTGACTTTATCTGCAGAGAAACAAGCTAAACCTGGGCTAATGCAAATAAGATCCCAGAGCGATACCTTTATCAGGTACTTGAATAATTATCTAGACAAAGAGATGCCAAATGTAAAACATTCTTACCTCTTCACAGAGGAATCATCTAGTCAACATTTTTCTGCCCATATTAATTATTTGCCCAAAAAGGATACTACAAATCTTTAAATTGGGCCCTCCCCTTAATTCTAAATTATTATATGTTTACCTCAAAATCTACAGAATTTATAACCCTTATCTCAACAAACGAGTTTTTCTTAAGAAAAAAAATATTCTGTTGTATCTTAGATCAGTGTTTTCAAACTGCCTCAAGCTCTCAGAAGGTAAGTATGTCCGGGCTGAGCAGGTGGGGCTCTGTCCCCACTCACACTGCTCCGTACCCTTCCCTCCCAATCAAACATTTTTGACTATTTTACATACTGAGCTCATGCTGCTGCTTGTAAAGGGGGCTTGACAAACCACTGTCTTAGGTGGGCAGGCTGCAGGGTCCTCAAACAGTACCAGCTCCTACACCCTCACTGTCCAGACACAGTGGGGAATTGGGGCCTCCTCTGGGGGACAGAATCCAGATGATTTCTTCATTAAGGGAAGAAGGAATTGCTTCTAGGCTGTAAAGAGGTGTTCAACCTCAGTGGGCAAAGTATACCTTTTGATGACTGTTGTCCTATAATCATTCCTGCATTTCTGGTGTTTCATAAAAACAAACCAACAAAACAAAACAAAAAAACTAACAGACAAGACATTACAAAGACCAGTCATGGAGAGCAGATGTTTACAAACACGGTCATATATTCTGTCTGCCCATCATTTAGGAGATGGAAAGTCCAGAGTTCAAGTACAACCTACCTTAAGCAAATGCAAACTATGTAATTACAGAGTGGCTAAATGGTTATTCATATCACAAAATGGTTTTTCAGAGCATTTCTCTACATAGCATTGTCACCTGGCATTTAAAGTATAACATTTACAAACGCTTAATTTATATACAACTTCAGGAAATATGCATTGGGATAAAATGAGAGGGGTGGGGGGACAGGAGAAGGGAGAAAGTAATAGCCCCATTTCCCAAGTGTCTGTTGGGGTTGTAGAGTTCCCAAATATTAGATGCAAGTTAAGGCTGGAGGAAGCATATGAGGTGACAATAATCACAGTGACTTTTTTTTTCAAATAATTAATTATTGTTAACCTTCTTCCCAAGATAGATTTTGTAGAGCTATGGCTAAAACTTCCCAGACACAGAGACTAGCATGACACTACAATAATAAGTACATGTCACCTTGGACACAAGGATATTCATTTGGACACAGGCTGGAGTTTTCTATTAAAGCAATGTTTCAGATCTTTGTTGCAAGAGAAAATGAGGCAACATATCTGCCTGGTTCAAAAGATCACGAAACAATTTGATCTAAACAAGCCCAGTACACTTAGCTTACGGCACTAGGGTGGGGCAGTCAGTTTGGGGCTGACATGGGGGCATCACTGAGGGAGGCCCTTCGGATTGCCCACCATCCACTTGGCTTCCAGTGGGAGTGGAGAGATAAGGCAGGCAGAGACTGAGAGACTGGCATTACCAGTTTGCATTGTATAAATAACTAAGCAACAGAAGCAGGTAACACATAAATATGGGGGTTTTGAGAATAAATCAAAACTCATACAATGAGGTTCAATGTCCTCCGGTCTAGTACAAAAAAAGGACCAGGGGAAGGAGGGAGGGAGGGAAGAGTATGGGAGACCAAACGAAAAGGAGACGGAGACAGAGCCAGAGCCAAGGAGAATAGGGTGGGAGCAGGAAAGAGGATGAATGAATTTCAAGCCGTGCTTATTCCCAGGGAAGTATATCGTGGCAACTCAGAGGAATCTGTGAGAGGAGACAGGAATAACAACCCTGCTCACTGCGACGGACGGCAAGGGAGATCTTGAGAACACTTTGGTCTCCAGCGTTTGGTGCCTGTTTTCCTGCTTGGCCTCCGTGAGAGCGCGCTTTTGGGTGTTCACGGGAGGTCTCGGCTCCCTGGCTTTGAATTTGGCTTTGTGGTTTTGCACTCCCTGTTTCTGCAAAAGCTGCAAGGCAGCAAGATAGCGAACGTTGTTGGAGTTGGGAGGACACGCCAGGTTTTTCTCAGGCAGGAGGGACCAGTGCAGGCAGCACGGCTCAGGACTGGCCAGCAGGGATGTCCGGGCCGCCGGGGGAGGGAAAGGCGGGGGGTCGTTGACCTTAAGGTGTTTGGCCAGCTCAGTGGGTCTCTTCTCACCTTTCCCATCAACTGTATTCAATCCATATGCACAAGGCACACATTCATCCTTTTCCACATTCAGCTCCCTCTCTTCCGGCTCCAAGAAAAAGTTCTCACTCTTCTTACCCAGATCATCCAGGCCATTTGGGGGTGCAGCCTTCAGGGGAGGTAGAACTAACAAGGCCTTGGAAGTCAAGGTGTCTGAAATGAAGGGACCTCTGTTAGCGCCTCCACTGGGATTTCTGGGGTCCTTGCCCCTAACAGTTTCGGGGATGGCCCAGTTTTCCATGCACCAAATAAACTCCTTTATTTGCAGACTTTTTTTCTCTCCCTGATTGTAGGTGGGAAAGCAGATCTTGCTCATCTCCCTGGAGGCAGGGGGGCGCCCCTGAGTCTGGGAGGGGCTGCCTTGATCCTTCTCTGGGCCCACCTCAGCCGGAGCCCCTGACTCCAATTTGCCCGCCTCCAACTGAGGCCTGGCCTCCAAGCTCCCTTGGGAGAGACTGACACAGAGGAAGCAGCTGCTGGCACTTTCTCCCGCCCTTGCCTTTTTAGGCTTCTTTCTGGGCCAGATGCAGGCGGTTGGTGAAGTCTTGCCCCAGCCTTGGACCTGCAAATAAAGCAGCACGTTACTCTCAGCCGAGCTGCCCCAACTTTGGCTACATCCCCCATTTTGGCCCTCCTATTTGAAGTAATATTTTCCTTAAAATTGATTCACCATTTTTTTTTTAACTTTTAATACCTATTTTAGCCTCATACCAAGCAATAGTATTTGTAATAGCATTTGTTAATCCGAAATACTAGCCATGGGAATTGTTAATACTAAAATACTAAGCAATAGTATCTGTAAATATCTGTGGCCACATTGATGTGCTGTGTATTTTTTCAAATGCACATTAAAATAAATTCAGAACCATTAAAATAAAATCAAAATTGTTTGTACTTGTCCTCCCTACCAGGCTTTCATGTGCCTCCAGGCTCTGCTTCCCATACCCGAGACACCGCTGTGTAGAGGGGCTGGAGGGGGAGCAGATGAGCCAAGGCAGGTCCTGGAGTTGGTGGGGTAGCCCAGGCACACCTACGCCCCCGCCCACACCAGGAGTCCCCTGGCTGACCTTGCCGCAGAGGTCACCATTAAATAGAGTTGCCAGCTGAAAATACAGGCCACATTTGGGACATACTTATACTAAACAAACTAGGTGCTGTTTACCAAAATTCAAGTTTAACCGGGTGTCCTTTGTTTTCATTTCCTCAATCTGGCAACCTTATGTGTAAAAAAGGCAAAAGTAGCTTCTGCGCTTTTACCATGTTCCAGGCCCTGAGCTGAGGATCTGTTGGCATCGTGCATTTAATTCTCACCGTAGCACTACAATTCAGGCATTCTGATACTCCAGTTACAGAGGAGGAAACTGAGGCTCAAAACATTGTTACAGCCAATAGCAAGTTCTGGCACATTCAGAGAGTCTGTGCATTCCCGAGCAAAGGACAAAGAGAGGCCTTGAGGAGCGGCAGTGTCTCCAGGGCCTGACAATAGGGCCAGCCTCTGGTCATCCTGCACAAAACATCCCTTTACCATCGTTCCCTCCTCACCCTCCCCTCACTCACTTCATGTGCTCAGCTCCCCAAATGCCTCCAGTTAAAAATTCCTAAGTGTTCAGCATCACTTTAAAAAGAAGTCTAGTAAGTGCTTGGCACCGCATGCGGCATTTGTGTCCTCCTCACTACACCCCTGTGGCCCAAATTTGCAGATGAAGAGCCTGGAGCTAAGGGACAGGAACCCTCCCCAAGGTTAGCTGCCGGTGAGTGGCAGATTTGAATCGTTCTTTCTTATTCCAAGGTCCTAGTTCTTCCCAAAGCCACCCTGATACCTCGCATATATTCCAGCCAAAAACCCCTTTTCTTTTGCATAGTTAAGTCCCAGTTCTTAGACGGTGATTATATACAGGGGCAAGGTTGCTGCCCCGTGCTGCACACCAAGTCAGACGAAGGACACCTTCCCCAGGCACTCCCTCCCTCCGCCGCTGTTCCAGGAACCCTGTCCCTTCACGTGATGCCCAGTTGGCACTAGCTCTTCTAGAGGACCCCGCTGCTTGTCTCAAATCTCTCTGCTCTCGGTCCTGGCTCCGCAAGCGGTTTTCCAGCTTTTGCAGGAAGGCAAGGGTCCCAGCCCGCTAGCTACCAGGTCTTCAGGTGACAGGCCTCTCGACAGATGGTGGCTTCAGCTGGAATGAGACAGTCCCCCAGTTCCCTCCTCCAGCCAGACAAGGAGATTCGTCTCCAGGCTGTGCTTGGAGCAAGCCAACTTCTACTTAATTGTGTATTTCTTGAGGGGAACAAATTCTGGAGCAACCCCTGCACTTTTGTCTTGCTGAATCTATCCAACAGGCCCACCTGATGAGTCAGCAAATGCTCTCCACTTGCCTGACCCTGAGAGTCACCTGAGCTGCTAATGTGGAAACTAGTGTAGTGACAGGAAAGGCCTTGTGTCCAATCAGTCTGGGTCAAACACGCACACCCCTGAGGCAGCCCGTCGTCTATCTCCTGTCTCTTGGCTCTGCAAGCATAGGAAACTCGCACAAATTGCTGCCAGCACAGTGTTCTCTGTCCTCCTTTAAATGCTGGCCAGGGGTCCCTGGCTCCAGCGCAGAACGTGTCAAAGGGCCAGGAGCCAGTGCAGGAAGCTGGCCTCTGGCAGGACAGGCCTCCGTCTCCCCTCCTGAAGCAAGGCCTCCTGCTGCGGCAGGGCAGGGCTAGGTGGGCATGGGTAGGGGGCTGGGCAGGGGGAGCAAAGAGCAGCAAGCAGGAGGAGATGAGGTGGCACGACCATCCCCAGACAGAGTGTGACAGCAAACATACTCTAAGCTACGGGCATGTGGGGGATTTTTTCCAATTAAAAGAAAATTCTTCTCCAACAGCCCTTAGATATATATTCCAAAGTAGCTGCCTTCAATAGTAAACTGAACCCTCTAAACTTAGAACATTTTTAATTCTTAAATAGAACTGTCTCCAACCCTGACTTATCTGGCATGGGTGTGCGTGTATGGAAGGTCATAAATGCTTAGGGTGGCGGTGGAGGCAGTACAGTAGACAGGGGACTAGAGAAGGGCTCTTGAAGACATGATTCTTTCAACTGTCGAGTAGACTTGGGTGAGTCATTCTGCCATGTCTTGGCCTCAGTTTCCATATTTATAAAATAAACCGATTAGATCAGGGTTTCCTAACCTTGGCACTACTCACATTTGGAGCTTATTATGGACTATATGTTTGTGTCCCCCCAAAATTCCTATGTTGAAACCATAACCCTCAATGTGATAGTTTTTGGAGGCAGGGCGTTTGGGAGGTAATTACGGTTAGATGAGGTCAAGAGGGTGGGCCTTCATGATGGGATTAGTGCCCTTATAAGAAGAGGAGGAGACAAGGGATCTTTCTCTCTGCTTGCACACACCAAGGAAGGCCATGTGAAGAAATAAACAGGCCCTCACCAAGAACCCAACCATGCTGGCACCCTGATCTTGGACTTCCAGCCTCCAGAACTGTGAGAGATAAATGTCTGTTGCTTAAGCCACCCTGTCTATGCTATTCTGTTACAGCAGCTCGAACTAAGACAGGATGGGGGCCATCCTGGGCATTGTAGAGCAGCACCCCTGGCATCAACCCACTAGATGCCAGTAACATCCCTTCTCCCTCAACCCCAGGTGTGACATCGCCAAGTGTTACCTGAGAATCACTGGATTAGTTCAAATTTCCTTAGTTCTCAATTTAGGATTCTATTGTTGATTCTAAGAATAGTTTAATAAACCCACAGGGTTCTGAGTTGAACCAGTAAGACACAAATCTCAGGTCTCTTGGGGAGCTGAGCACTGCACTTAAGAAGCCCAGGTTCTGGAGTCTAGAAGACCCAGATTCAAGCCCTGCCTTGGCCACTGGCTGGGTGATCTTTGCACGTCATCTCATTTTTTGGGTGACTTAGCAGCCTTGTCCAAAAAATGAGGCTGTTCAGAATGCTTGCTTCATAGGGCTATTGTGAGGTTGAATGAATTGATGTATATGAAGCATTGACTGTGCCTGCCAATACTAAGTGCCCATAAATACCCAATAAAAGGTACTACTATTATCGTCATTAATATTTTACCTCTGTTCCAAAGGTTTCTGTATCTCACTGTTTACACATTTTTTTGGTAATAGTAACTATTTTTGAAAAAAGCCAAAGAAAAAGCTTGCATCAAAACACTGACCTGCAAGAGACCTAACTCAAGAAGATACTCACTGCTTCTTCCCATCCAGTTCCGATGACAAACTCGTGGGCTTTTTCATCTTGTTCAAGCGTAATATCACTGATATTGAGAAGACAACAAACATGATTCTTTTCGCTTATTTCATCTGGACAAGTAAAGGTTAATTCAGTTTCTTCTGTACTTTGAATTTCATTATTTTCACTATTTTCTAACTCAGTCTCATTTTTCTGACCAAGATCCATTACTGTGATGGTTGCTTAAAGTTTTTAACATCTTCTTCCTATAGTTGGAAATACAGATTAAACTCAGTTTTTAATATTGATTTTTTTTTTTTAAAGCAATGCAATAACTCAGGCAAAATATCTTCAAGACACATTCAGGAATAGACTGAGAAGAAATATTACAAAACCATTCATTGCCAACTACTGACATTATAAAGGATAAGGCTAATTTTAAAGACTAATGGATTTAATGAAAGACCAAAGTTGGGGGTGAAGAAAAGAGGATAGGAAGATGTTAGCACAGGCTGTAACCCTCGTGATGGGTACAGAGTGCCTTAAGGAATGTAGGTGTAAGCATCCCTACCCTCCACTCCAAAAACATCCAAAAGGTATTGTGCCAATGTCGAGAGAGCCATCATGGATATGTGTGTGACTTATGCACACCAGCCTCCACCTCTTTCCCTTCCCAACAACTCTGGATATCAGCTTGGGGATCGTTAGGCTTCTGAGGAAGCTGGTGGAGCATGTGGTCTGGGCTAAGTCAGTCGGTTCGCCGTAATCCAGCCTATATAACTGGTGTCCTATAAAAAGGGGAAATTTGCACACAGACATGCATAGAAGGAAGACCATGTGAGAGACACAGGGAAAAGATGGTCATCTGCAAGCCAAGGAGAGAGGGCTGGAATGAATCCTTCCCTCACAGCCCTGAGAAGGTGGTACTTGGTTATGGCAGCCCTAGCTGACTCACACAGTAAGTGGTGGTGGCGGCGGTGGTGGTGGTGATGATAATGATACTATCTATCCTTAACTGATGCTTTTCTGGGTTGAAAAAATGGGACCTGGCATTTATAATCCAGTCAAAGGGTTAGGAAAGTTATAATCCTGATCAGGAGCACAGACTCAGGTGCCAAACAGCCAGGGTTCCAATCCTATTACTAGCTGTGTGGCCTTGGGCAAGTGACTTTTCTGGGTCTGTTTGTTCATCTATAAAACAGGAATGATTATAATACCTTCCCACAGACAATGGCTCCTCCTGGGGACCTCCTGGAGACCAAAAAAACAGTTCTAAAGGCTCAAGTTCTAAAGGCTCGAAGTCCAAAATCATGGTGTGGGTAGGGTTGTTCCTTCTCAGGGCTGTGAGGGAAGGATTCATTCCAGCCCTCTCTCCTTGGCTTGTAGATGACGATCTTTTCCCCGTGAGTCTTCACATGGTCTTCCTTCTATGTATGTCTCTCAAGCTGCACAGATGAACTCTAAGGCCTCAGCAGTGACCACCAATGGTCCAGCTGAGTACTGATGAACAGCCAGTACCTTCTTGAGGAATTTCTTGCTTGTAATGAGACAAAGGCCACTGGGGACCACACACCTTGCTTTCTCTCACCACAATGTGACCCCTGCCAGAAATCTACTTTTTTCATTTTCTGTTGAGGTAGAGATTAGTAACTTCTTATAACAATATCTGTCTAATTACCATTTTGGCTTTTTCATACAGGCTTAAAATGGCATTTTGATAGTAATAAAATTCCATTTACCTATGGAAGGTCAAAGATCTGTGGACATCCTAATGTTTTCCAATATGACATCAGAGGAAATGAATGAAATCTGAAAGGAAAAAAAAAAACGATATTACAAGTGACTAAAAACTAGAAGTGCTATTCTGTTTACAAACAGAAGCAGGATTAAGCACCAGACAGATTGTGCAAACCAGCCTGATCTTTCATATTGTGAAATTTCATTTCGGTCACTGCCCAGGCCAAAGAAGCTTCTATAAGTACACTCAGATCTCATTCTCTTCTGAATTACCAATGCATTTGTACCACAGCACCCCAGAGACTTAACAAGTGTACAATTCAAAAGGAAAAAAGCAGAGAATCAAAAGCAAAGCCATTTTATTAAATCATAAAATAAATTTAAACTTGAGGTTAAGATAGCAAAGAAACAGATACTGTTTAGGAGAGATTAAGTATAGTTAGAATGTTCAAATCAGTAAGAAAGATCTTCTGTGCTTGAAGCATCTCCACTGATGAGGCCCTCACTACTTAGAAGGCCTGTTCCAATGGCAAAGTGCTCCAACTGCCTGCTTCTCAAACGTGGCTGCACCTTGGAGTCATAAAAAAATACTTTATAAAAAATAAAAATGCCCCAACCTTACCCACAGAGATTCTGATTATAATTAGTCCGGGCACTGCCTGGCCATCAGGATTTTTAAAATCACCCTAGGTGATTCTAAAATCCAGCCAAGTTGGAGAACTACTGCTCTGTTTGAAAGTTCTTCCTTATATGGAACCAACACTGTTTTCCCTGCCCCATCAACATCCTCCACGCCCTGGTCCTAGTTTTGCCCTCCAGAGCAAGCTCTGTGATGGGCAGCCTTCCCATCCATGGTTGGGCTTCAGGAGGTCTATGACACCTCTGAAAATGCTCCATCCTTTTTTCAGGGAAGGGCTTGCATCAGAGCTACAAAGCAGCCTGCCACCAAGAAAGGTGGAAGAATCATTGATCCAGAGACGGCCCACTACCTCAGTCTCCCTACGGCCCTACAACAACGTCCCCTGTACTCTTCTCTTTCAGGTTAACCATCTCCAGCTCCTTCGACTATTGCTCACATGTCATGAGAATCTGTGAAATCTGAGGGGAAGACTAGATCTCTATCTCTATCTCTACATCTAGAGAGAGAAACAGCAGAGGCCAAAGATGCGATACTGGGTAAGCCTCTGTTTTGGAGTCAGTAGAAGTTGGACCCAGCAAGGGCACCAGAAGAGGTTCCAGTCAGATTATATTACAAAGTGCCAAAAGGAACCCAGGTAACGATAATAATTTAATAATAATACTTACTGATACATAGCTCTGACTATGTGCCAGGCACTGTTATAAGCACTTTACATATTAGTTATAAATACTACATTTTTATAAGTACTTTACTCATTTAATGGGAGCTCATGGGAACTATGATCTCCTTATGACCGAAAACTAAGAATCATCTCTGAGTCAGTAAATGCAGTGTTCTTAGCCAAAAGGTGAGATTACTGCATACCAGATTGCTGGAACACTGATGTTCTTCAGGCTGGATCAAAATTCTCCACTACTAAGAAAGAATATTGGTGGTCTTTTCCTAATTAGAAAAAAAAATTTAGTTAGTGGAAAGAATAGTCTTAATTTTAAGCTTTCCTCCTGTAAACATGCCTTCAACTTTTATTGCCCCTTCTTGTCTTCCAGCTCATGTGAGAGAGGAAAAATAGAAATGTACAAGAAGCAAGCAAAGATCAACCAAAAATGTGGATATGTGATTTCTTACAAATTGTATGCAGTTTTACTTTTATGTTGGAATGCAGAAGTCTGCATTGATCTAATACTCATATTTTCTGATAGTAGAATTATGCCTAGTTTACAGATTTGAAGTAAATCTAATCTAGCTCATGCTATTCCACTTGACTTTCCTGGAGCTTTAATACCTGATCCAGTCTGAGCATCCCTGGTATAAAGCATATCTCAAAGTCCATACTAATGTTTTCCAAGAAAATCACATCAAGAAAACACAAAAATCACAGTGAAAATGCTACCACAGGAAAATGCATTTGCAGATGCAACTAGAAAATTGAATTTGGAGCACAAAGCAGGAAGGCACACAGATGTAGGCCAGGAGGTATTAAACCCTATGACTTATGCTATCGAAGTGACGAGAACCAAAATGCACAAAGAAGTTGACTGCGGTCCAAGCCCCCAGAGTACATGTTTGGATAAACAAGAATAAACCCAAAGGAAAATTGATCAAGGAACTAAGATATTTGGAAATGAAATAAAGAAGATGAATGAGAGTCTAAGAAACAGAGCCTATGGAAACTCACTATGATCCAGAAAAAATCTTTTCTAGTAGCATTTAAAGACACAAATGGAAAGGAAATGATCAGCCACAAAACTGTAAAATCGTTTTATTTTACTTTACCAATCAAATATAAGCCATTATAATTTGCTTTAAAATAATCCTGCAAGGGGAGGTGGGTGGTTGTGGTTAGAGAGAGAATGATGAAATACAAGTGGCCACAAGTTCTGTTTGTTGTAGGTGGGTATGAGGGCATGGAGGTTAATTGTACTATTCTTTCTACTTTTATGTAAGTGTGAAATTTGTCATAATAAAATGTTTTTTAAGCCATTACGTTACCAGAGTGGTTCAAGAAATGGAATGTCAAATAATGGTGGTGGTGAGCATACCATGAATTTTGACCTTAAGCAAACTGACATAAATGTATCAAAGAATAGATAACACGGCTTGTATAATTTTACATTAGACTAGGAGACCTTGAACAAGGACTTATTGAAAAAGAACTGATGTACAACAAAGGTATAAAAAATCAGAGAACAGAGTTTATGAAGGTGATTTAGAGAAACTCCATAAATAATGGTCTAGTTACTCTTAAGTCAAAGTACTCAAAGCCTTCTCATTGAATTTACTGAACAGCAAAAGAAAGGGTTGGAAATGCAGAAAAAAATAGACATTACCTTTTGGATCTCTGACTCTATAGTATGATCATGCAGTTTGTTAATGAACAGAGAAATACGGAGACTACCAAATGCCTCTTTGTTATACATCTGGCAAAATCAATGTAGCTTTAACGCCCTAACCATTCTGTAACTTAAAATACTAAGTGTCCTGCTCCTGAAATGAACAGACTTCCATTAAGCTACCACTGGTCAATGGCAGAGGCACACGAATATTACAACCAAATCCAGCGAAAGGATACGTTTTCTGTTGCTACCCTCATGGTGTGTTGTATAAAAGTTAAAATGGGCTGGGAGAGGTTGAAATCAATGTAAACTAAGAACAATGACCATATCTACTATTTGCAAATAAGTAATGCTGCCCCAAGAAAAACATATGTGAAAAAAAGAGACCGCCTGACCAAGAATATAAAGACATTTCCAAAAGGTTAGTAGGTGAAGAGAAGCTAAGAAAAAGGACAGCAGAAGACAAGAAAAGACAGACAGAAATACCATCCATACTAGTACAGAAAGGGCCTCTGTATTTCTTTGTATTCTTTGATCTTCTTTGATCAACAAGGTGATAATATGGTTATTTTATCATTTTAATGAAAGTGAAGTGAGAAATGGATTTATTAAAAAAATCCCAACGGGTCCGGCCCAGTGGTGTAGCAGTTAAGTGTGCGTGCTCCGCTGTGGCGGCCTGGGGTTCGCCGGTTCAGGTCCCGGGAGTGCACCAACACATCACTTGTCAAGCCATGCTGTGGCGGCATCCCATATAAAGTAGAGGAAGATGGGCATGGATGTTAGCCCAGGGCCAGTCTTTCTCAGCAAAAAGAGGAAGATTGGCAACAGGTGTTAGCTCAGGGCTAATCTTCCTCACCAAAAAATAAATAAATAAAAAATCCCCATAAAACTCTAAAATTTTGTTTTGGTTTTTGTTTGTTATTTTGCCCCAGATATGGCTCAGGCTGTCGAGTTATTTCTGGAAAAAGTTGCCCTGGCAGCCTTACCAGGGTACACTTCAGTTTGGCATGGTCCCTGTTAGCCTCAGCTACCTAGTAGTAGTCAAGATAGGCAAGATTATGCTGCAATAACAAGCAATCCTGATTTTTTTCCCAGTGATAAAAAACAACAAAAGTTTATTTCTAACTCATGCTACACGTCCATTGTATGATGTCGTGTACTCTGCTCTGCATTATCCTCACTCTGGAACTTGAACTGATGGAGGCACCATCATGGGTAACCATAGCCAACTGTGATGACAGAATGTGATGGCAAACATGGGGAATCACACACTGGCTCTTAGATGCTTCTGCCTGGAAGTAACTCATATGACTTCAGACCCCATGTCATTAGCTGGAACAAGTCACAAGGTACTCCCTAACTTCAAGGAGAAGGGGGGATAATACTTCCTCCTGTATTTCCAGAAGGAAAAGGAAACTAGATTTTGATGACCAGTAGTAATGTCTTGGTAACACTGGTCCGGTATCATCAGAGGTGACATATAAAGCAAGTGACCTTTATGTACTATAAATGTCACCACCTAAAATGTGGACATTTATGGTCCTTGAAAATAGAGTCCAGGGCCCCTGAGAATGGGAAGTCCTAGATCTTAGGAAGATAAGACTATGTGCCTATAACATTATAATTCTTTTCTTAAAACTCTTTTCAGTTTTTTGGATTCTAAAATGTATCCAAATGAAAATACAAAGGCCCAAGAATAGATAGACAATTTTAAAGAAGAAGTCGGAGGAATAACTGCTGAATATCAAGATACGAATCTAGAACAGGATTTCTTATAGATATTGACAAGCTGGTTTTAAAATTTATTAGGAAATGCAAAGGAACTATAATAGCTAAAACAATTATGAAAATGAAGAATAAAGTGGAGGAATCATAATATCCAGTTTTAAAAATTACCATAAAGCTATAGGAATCAGTTTGGTATTGGTGAATGGAGAGACATATAGATCAATAGGCCAGAATAGGGAGTCCAGAAATATACCCACATAAACACGGCCAATTGATTTTTGACAAAGATGCAAAAATAATTAAATGCAGAGAGTCTTTTCAACTATAATGTTGCAACAACTGGCCATCGATATGCCAAAAAAAAAAAAAAT